AGCAGGAAAAACAGACTTACATGTCATACTCACTTTCAAGTGATGGTCAGGGAAACATACCTGTGGCATTAGATGACCAGCATGTACCATCTGTGCAAAAATCTGGAGCCCACTGTGCAAGAAAATAGAAGGACAGATGAGGAAATAAAGAGCAGAATAAATAAGGAACATTCAAGATGGAGGGCGGTAAGTAGAATGGTTTGCATAAGAAAATGTCAGTTCACTTTAGGGGACAATTCTACAAGACGGTGATAAGGTTGGTGCTGCTGTATGGTTGAACAATGAAGAAACAATAGGTGTGGAGGGTGACAAGGTAGATTTGTGGAGTCAACCAAATCACATAAGGAAGGAGGAGGTGTGGTAACAGACCAAAGAGATATCAATAGGGCAAAGGGTGAGTGAAAGCAGATGGATGGTTTGGGCATCTAACTAGAAAGCCTGAAGAATGTGTTACTCTGAGAGTCAAGGGCAGGATAGAAAGGGGATGACTCAAGAGGATGCCATGCTTGAAGAAAGAAGAAGAAACAAAAGTTCAATCTCATTAGTGCTAGTGTTACTATTTCAGACATTTCAGTTGGGTAGTTGTAAGCTTTGAGGCCTGCTTGTTTCTGAAGGGAAGGTAATGACTCTATTTCCCTGGCCAGTTCCCAGGAATTGGTGGTCTTGCCTGACTCATGCTTCTTTTCCTCCCTAAATTTTCTGCTTCAAAAGAAATGAAAAAATAGGTGAGGTTTAGTCCTGGTTTACACTAGAGCTACACAGAATACTAGCGCATTCTAAATTCACTTTACAATGGCTGAGAGAGGGTTTTTTTTCCCTTGGTGGTGGCAGTTTTTTCCAAACTATTAAGCCAGTTCCCATAACAGCTATGCTGAATTGTAAACATATATCCAGAATTTTTCCATTTTAGCTGCTTGTCTTTGTTGAATTTAATCGCTTAGTCTAGTGATCTTTCAGCTGAATGTGTAGGTACCACAATGCAGGGAAAAACTGAAACAAAATGGGCCTATGGCAAAGATGCTGAATTAGAACTAGAATGAGGAGTGGAATAAACCAGGGGTATAACTATAACTTTACTATGTTGTAGTTAATGCTCAGTATAGACAATTAATTTTAAGGCGCACACATTTTATTTTGTGCAGGTACAGGTGAAAAATAAGGAGAGGCATATACATCTAATGATGATGATCTACTGTTTTTACCAGCAACACAAACTCGAACTAGATAAAATCATGTTGGTAACTCCAGAGTGCTCATAGCTTGATTTCTGTTAGCTGCAGTATTGAAGCTGATATCATAGTCCTCAGATATACTGTAACAAACTCTTCTCATTTTATTGTACAAGTGTACTTAAAGCAGCAACATAAGTAAGTAAACAGTACATTCTTGCAAAGCATTTCTACTTGGAACAAAAACTAGTAAATGAAATGAATGCACACTAAAAAAGCCACATACTGAATTTATTAATTGTAACAGCACTCTTTTTCTGAAAAATTGCAGAATAGCTCTATGCTCTCTCTTTTTTTTTTTTTAGAAAAAATATACTTCTGTATTCCCATTTTCTTACTGTAAAATAACAGTATGTGACTGTAAGGCAAAGCATAGAGGAGTTTGATGGCTCAGATTTACTGTGCACCCTAGAAGCGGACAACAGGTCATGTCTACTCTGTCAAAGGGCTTTGTAGAACCCAGCAGAGAAGCACAGCATCAGCAGTCTGTGCACGCTATACGCAAAAGGATGTAATGTATTTGGCGGGGTGGGTGCTCACTAGCATGGTCCTTGTTGATGCAGGCAGAACCAGAAGGTCCCCTATGTGCAGGATTTCCTTCTTGTATGTAAGGGTGGGAAGTTTCAATTGCACAGCACTGATGCCTGGCTTTGCAGAGACCCCTCTCTTTATGTCTGCACAGGGGAGGTGGTGAAATGTAGGCAAATAGGAGTG